AAAAAAAAAAAGAAATTGAAAAAAAAAAACCAAACCAAGCTGAGAATCTTTTTGTTTCGCTGGAAAACGTTGAAGTCCATGGACTTCCCAGGTCAGCCCCATCCTCTGCCCCCTTTTGTCCGTCCTTTTCGGTGTGTGTGAGCGTCCCGAGCGCCAGGCCCCCCCCCAGGAGCAGCAGGGGGGTTCCCAGGAGCCTCCCTGCCCGTCTCATCCACGTACCATTTTTATCAAAGAGAAATAAATGCGCACAACCATCTGTCTCCCTGCACTCCACGTATCTTCCTTGCCTGCCACCTTCCAGTTCCTCTCACTGCTGCTGATTCATCCGCAGTGTCCCCCCTTGCAGGTCGCTTTGGGGGGTCCCACAACCTCCCCACCCAGCTGGGCCTCTTCCTCCTTGGGGCAGGAAATCTTTTTGATGCTTAAAAGAAAAGCTTTGCCCCAAACTTGGCCCTAAATGCTCCTTTGGAAGCTTCCTTTGGTGGGGCAGGACACGGGCATTGGTGGTTCTGCTGTGTTTGGGTGACCTGGTCCCTGGTGGGTGTGGGTGAGGGTCTGCTGCTGCCCCCAGAGGTGTTCCCAGAGCTCTGGTGGAGGGGTCCTGCTGGCAGCTTTTTGATGCTTAAAAGAAAAGCTTTGCCCCAAACTTGGCCCTAAATGCTCCTTTGGAAGCTTCCTTTGGTGGGGCAGGACACGGGCATTGGTGGTTCTGCTGTGTTTGGGTGACCTGGTCCCTGGTGGGTGTGGGTGAGGGTCTGCTGCTGCCCCCAGAGGTGTTCCCAGAGCTCTGGTGGAGGGGTCCTGCTGGCAGCGAGTTACCAAGGAGAGTCCTTGTGCTGCTGGCAGTGAGTTACCAAGGAGAGTCCTTGTGCTGCTGGGAGGGGTTCTTGCTAAGGGGTATTGTGTTTTCTCAGGCTGGGGTCCTAGTGGCCCAGGGCAGGTGTGCAGTTCACCCGGGGTGGGTGTGTGGCCCTGGGGTGGGTGGGTGTGTGGAAGCCTTTCTCCAGCACTTCCCAGAGAAGCAGGATAAGGATGGTGATGGATCCAGGGGAGGAGAGAGGAGGGGGGCGCTCTGGGGGTTCACAGGCTGGCCCGGTC